GAGGAGTTTTGCTACTGGGAGAGTATGCTCTGGCACTGGGGCGAAGATCAGCAACAGCCTCCTCCTTCTCGTGCTGCTCTCGCGGACAACAATTCTGCTGCTGCTGTGGCCACCACCTGATCGAAAAAAGATATTTTTTTGCGATCCAGATCTTTGATCTTTGATCCAAACTCTCGGGGTTTAGTCCGTAAGATCATGAGTTCCTACGTGGCTCCTCGAGGACCCAGAAATCGAGCTATCTATCTTGGAGTTGTGGGTTTAAGGCTGTTACTTAGTGATAGTGTAGGGTGTAGTGTAGCAAGGAAGAATGGCGCTGGTTGCCGGCGCGGGCGCGTCTAGAGCTCCTGCATTGCAAGTGCTTGGCGATGGAGGAGGGGGAGGAGGAGGAGGAGCGAGCAGGGCAGCGCCCTGTTGGTTGCGTGCTTCTTTGCTCCAGCAGCAGCATGGCTATGGCTCCACCAGGGCTCCTCGATTGGTCACAGGCGCGGAGGAGTGGAAGGTCTCGGCTGTGAGGACAGACTTCGCGCCTCGGAAGAGAGTGACTACCACTTGGGAAGACGAGCAAACGGATGAGAGTGAGGAGGAGGATGGTAAGATTCTCTATGTGGATGATAGCGAGTTGTCCCAGCACTCCAATTCGGAGGACGAGGAGGAAGAAGAGGATGGTGTCCAAGGTGAGAGCAAGGCTGATGACGAGCTTGCAATTGCCGGGCTGGGAGTTTCGCAGGAGATTGTTGGCCACCTTGCGGACCGAGGCATCACGCACTTGTTCCCGATTCAAGTGAGTTAGAGAGATCTCAAGCGTGAGAGAAAGAGAGAGAGAGTTCTAAGTTTCTAAGTTCTATCCCGGCTTGTGCAACAGCGAGCCGTGTTCCAACCAGCGATGAAGGGCGTCGACCTCATTGCTCGAGCGAAGACTGGCACAGGGAAAACTTTGGCATTTGGAATTCCCATCATGGATCGCATCTATCGCTCGCGAAGCAAGTCTCAAAGGTGCTCCTCTACGATCATATCTTAGAACTTTGGTTGATAACGCGAACTTTGCTTGTTCATGGCTTTCGCAGGAGATCTTTCAGAGGTCCGGCGGCCTTGGTGTTGGCTCCGACGAGGGAGCTTGCCAAGCAGGTGGAGACCGAGTTCATGGAGTCGGGCAAAGAGCTTGCGACAGTCTGCGTCTATGGCGGAGTTTCCATCATGTCTCAGAAGCGCTTGCTCTCTCGCGGTGTCGATGTTGCAGTGGGAACTCCCGGCCGGATCATCGACTTGCTGGAGCAAGGATGCCTGGATCTCAGTCAAGTGGAGTGCATGGTTCTGGACGAGGCGGACCAGATGCTGGCCGTGGGCTTCGAGGAAGACGTGGAGAAGATCATGGAGCAGCTCCCAGAGAAGCGTCAAAACATGCTCTTCTCCGCGACCATGCCCGGCTGGGTCCAGAAGCTCTCGAGAAAGTTTCTAAACAAGCCGCTTACGATCGACCTGGTACGTAGTCGTCGCGAAAGCAGTGGCAATCCTCTTAGCTAACGTAGACTTTGTTTTTCAGGTTGGCGAGTCCGACGAGAAGCTTGCCGAGGGTATCAAGTTGTATGCTGTCCAGACTTCACAAGCTGCGAAACGCAAGATCCTCAGCGACGTGATCACGGTAACTATGATGCGTTTACATCATCTTCTTCGTTTTTGTTTTCTCATTTCTCTTGAATCGTGTGATCTCAGGTGTATGGCAAGGGAGGCAAGACGATTGTCTTCACGCAGACCAAACGGGATGCTGAGGAAGTCTCCATGGCAATGAACAGAACTCTCGGTTGCGAGGCCTTGCACGGGGATATCGCACAGTTCCAAAGGGAGAAGACCTTGGCAGCTTTCCGAGAGGGGAGGTTCCTCATCTTGGTCGCGACGGATGTTGCTGCGCGAGGCCTGGACATCACGGACGTAGACCTTGTAAGTTTCGTTTTGTTTCCTCGAGAGCTCTCGAGAACATCTCTAGAAGTATCAGCTATGATCAAACCTCTGCGCAGATCATACACTACGACTTGCCACGGGACTCGGAGACGTTTGTCCACCGATCTGGTCGAACTGGCCGGGCCGGCAAGGATGGCAGCGCTCTCGTTTTCTTCTCTCCGCAAGAGAGGAGGATCTTGAAACACTTTGAGCGACAAGTCGGCTGCAGCTTCCAGTTCAAGAGCATGCCGCATTTCGACGAGGTGCTCGCGGCGTCGTCCTCGCAAGCCGTGGAGCTCATCAAAGGTGTCCATCCGGATCTCAAGCAAGTCTTCATGGCCACGGCGGAGAAGCTCTTGGAGGAGCATGGCACGGCCGCGTTTGCAGCCGCGATTGCTCATATGAGTGGCTTCAGCCAGCCACCCGAGCAGCGATCTTTGATCTCCCTCGAGGCGGTAAGCTTTCGTTTCGTGCTTGTTCTTTAACTCATGGTGCTCTCTCCAGGGATACATGACTCTCAAGTTCTCCCGTGCTCCCGGGAACTTCCCGCTGGCTGTGCGGCACGTCGTGGGAGCCATCGCTAGCTTGTCCGAGAAGGCCGCGGACAACATTGGAAAAGTCCAGATGATCGACGAGAAAAATGTGAGTTTGTGAGATCGCAAGTTGTTCCAGCTCAAGAACTTTCTCTCTTTGCGTGCTTTACAGGTTGAGGGTGCTGTTTTCGATCTTCCGGAGCACATAGCCACGGATCTCCTCTCCAAGTCGATGCCTTCCGGCACTAGGATCGAGGCGATCAAAGAGGTTTTCTTTTTCTTCACTCGTTTGATCTCTCACCAACATTGCATGGCTCTCTCTCGCAGCTTCCAAGCCTCCAAGATTCCTGGGACGATGGCGGCCGGCGGAGCTATGGGAGCTCCTTTGGAGGCGACCGAGGAGGCGGCGGAAGGAGGCCAGCGTTTGGCCGGTTTGACGATTCCAGAGGAGGAGGAAGATACTCGAGCAATGGTAGGAGTTTCTCTTCGTCGTCTCGATTCGGCGAGTCGAGGGGCAGCAGTAGTAGATCATCGTCCTCTTGGGGTGGCGGCGGTGGCGGCGGTGGAAATTTTGATGGAGCTTGCTACAAATGCGGGCAATCTGGCCACCGCGCGTTTGAATGCAAGCAGCAGCGAGGAGGCTACTAGAAAGATTTTCTTCTTCTTCTCTCTTCTGCGCAAGAACAAAGAGAAAAAACAAAGAGAACGAACAAACAAAGAGAAAGAACTTTGTTACGTATAACATTTTAAAAGCTTGGGATAAACCCTAAGAATGGTGGGGAGCTGCGAATGCAACAAGCCGGCAAGAGCGATGGCGGTGGTAAGATCTCGCGCGCCGCCTACTCCCTCCGCGCCCCCATGCCCTAAATTCTGGCTTGCCAGGCTCTGCATTGTCCATAGTAGAGGGCGGAGTGACGCAATTCGTGGCGGGGATCGCCTTGGCACTCTTTCTCGCGCTCGATCATGCTGCTGGCGCTCTCATGGGCTGCTTCCACTCGAAGCCCTCGCAGCACGCGGCCGGGTACGAAGATCCTGTAGCTCTGGCCAGTGATACTACCTGTGAGTTTGATCATTTGCCGCGTTTTTCCCTGCTAAAGTGCGGTGGCTTCTTCCAGTCAGCGTGAGTGAGATCGAAGCGCTGTATGAGCTCTTCAAGAAGATCAGCAGCTCCGTTATTGACGATGGCCTCATCCACAAGGTGTGTGATTCGATTTTCTTCTTGGGCTTCTTGGGCTCGCTTAGATCTCGCTCGGCTTCACTTCAGGAGGAATTCCGCTTGGCGCTCTTCAAGAACAGCAAGAAGGAGAACTTGTTCGCAGATCGGGTACTTGTTTCTTTTTTCTTTTTCCACTCGTGCTTGCTCCTTTTGACAAGTTCTCTTTTTTTTCTCTCTCTCTCTCTTTCTGCAGGTGTTTGACCTTTTCGATGTGAAGAGAAACGGGGTGATCGATTTCGGCGAGTTCGTGCGCTCCCTCAGCGTGTTCCACCCCAATGCACCGCTGGAAGACAAGATCGACTGTAAGATGGATAACTCGTTCAACTCATGCGTTGTTTTCTCATGGTTGTTTTCTTCTCCTTTTGCAGTTGCCTTCCAGCTGTATGATCTGCGCAGGACCGGTTTCATCGAACGAGAAGAGGTACTAGCAAAGCATTTGAAGATGCTATTCAGATGAAAACTAAGATCAAACTGCAGGTGAAGCAGATGCTAATCGCCTTGTTATCAGAGTCGGATATGAAGCTCTCCGACGACGTCATCGAAACTATTCTTGATAAGGTCGAGAAGTTGATCGCTCTTCTTCTTCGTACGCTAAACAAGCTATTGTCTCTTTTTCTTTTGTGATGCAGACGTTTGCGGAAGCCGACACCAACAACGACAGTCGGATTGACAAGGAGGAGTGGCAGAACTTCGTGCTGAGGAATCCTTCGCTCATGAAGAACATGACGCTGCCGTACCTCAAGTAAGCTCACCACTCTCTCTACTTGGAAAAGCACTCATCACTTGGGACTAGCAGCATTGTTTCTAGTTTGCGTCCTTGCTAGTTCGCTCGCTGCTTGCTTGCTTGCTTGCATATCCCGCGATGGCTTGGTTGATGTGTGTGGTGGGATATTTGCAGGAACCTTACAACCGCATTCCCCAGCTTTCTTTTCAATTCTGGTGTTGATGATAGTGTTCTGTGAGCCCAGCGCCAGCCACTCAACTGTGTTTCTGTGTGTAGAGATATCACGACAGCATTCCCGAGCTTTGTATTCAATTCGGAAGTTGAAGACGTTGCGTGAGAGTGTGAGAAGATCGCAGAGAGTGGCAGAAGGAAGATCGCAGGGAGTGAGAAACATTCGCAGAGAAAATCGCGAAAGAGAGAGAGTGAGAGAGAACTTAGCAAGTGAGAGAACTTAGAGTGAGAGTGAGAACTTGAGAGAGAGAGAGAGAGAGAGAGTTAGCCTATACAAAACTTTTTATTCTTTTGGTTTGAATATTCTGGGCATTCCGCGTTGCGGGGTTACTTAGGGTTTTGTTCTTCGTGTGTGCTTGTCTCCACTGCGCTGCGCTGTGCTGGAGAAATGTCCGTGGCATCGCTCGTGGACAAGGCGACGAGCGATCTGCTCATCGGCCCGGATTGGGGGAGGAATTTGGAGATTTGCGACGCGCTCAACAATGATCCAGGGTATGTGTCGACCCAATTGCTTGTTTTGCGATTCATTGCGGGCTCTCTCCATCGCAGGCAAGCAAAGGAGGTTGTCAAGGCGGCCAGGAAGCGGCTGGCGCACAAGAATCCGACTGTCCAGCTCCTCACTCTCACCGTAAGCCGCGCGAAATCTCTATTCTATCGGTTCCAGTCGGCCATTTCTATTGTCCTTCACAGGTCCTGGAGACTCTGGTGAAGAATTGCGGAGACGCTGTCCACCAGCAAGTTGCCGAGAAGGATGTTTTGCACGAGATGGTGAAGATTGTCAAGAAGAGGGTAAGCGAGAATCTCTCGTGTGTAGCTTTTGCTGCTCGTCTCAAGCGTGCTGGACCGCGCAGGGCGACTTGAGCGTGCGAGAGAAGATACTCGGCTTGCTGGATTCGTGGCAAGAGGCATTTGGTGGCCAGAGAGGAAGGTACCCGCAGTTCTTTTCCGCGTATGATGAACTCAGACGGTCGGGAGTGGATTTTCCCCAGCGTCAAGATGCTCCGCCTATCTTCACTCCTCCTCAGTCGCATCCTATCACTGCATATCCAGCCCCGGGATTTGTAGCAGCAGCAGCATCACCGGAGCCGCCATTGCCACCACTGGACGTAGATATCCAGCGACTGAGGTGCGTCCAAAGCTTTCTTCTCTTGTGCTCTATCCAAGAGATTGTTTCTTCTTTGTTGCAGCTTAGCGGACCTTGACAGTGCAAGGAGCGGGATGGAGGTTCTCTCGGAGATGCTCAACGCGATCGATCCTCGAGATAAATCGGTATAGTCTGTTCTCTTACTGGATGGCAGGCCGTAACACCACAAAGGTTTTCTACAGGCTTTGAGGGAGGAGCTCATTGTGGAGCTTGTGGAGCAATGCCAACGGACGCAGAAGCAAGTCATGCATCTCGTCAGCACCACGTCGTGAGTTGAGACTGCTAATACGAATTATGGAACGACTCAGTGGCTGATCAGTGTGTTTTGGTTTCCAGGGACGAGACACTCTTGTTTCAGGCTCTTTCCTTGAACGACGACTTGCAGAAAGTCCTTGCCAAGCGTGACGCAATCGCGTCGGGTGCTGCTCCTGCCGCGGCAAAACAGCCAGAGGCTCCGCCTGCTTCTGTTTTCCCACGCGAGGAGGAGGAAGGCGAAGATGACTTCGCACGGCTTGCTCGCAGGTTTGCTCTCTCTTTCCAAAATCTCAACTTTGACACGCCGGGTTGTGCCTTGTCCTTCGCAGAAGCCGGCAAAACTCGGATCAGCCTGCTCCGAAACCGAGCGCTCCCCCTCAACTCTTCCGAATTCCCGGCCCTCCAGTCCCGCAAACGAGAATCCAACCTCCTTCCAACAACAAGTCGACGAAACCAACGAGTGAAGATCTCCTCAGCGGCGAAGCTTTCGGCGCTGGTGGAGTCGCGAGTGACTCGAAGAAAGCTGCTGTGCTGCACACGCATGGCCTGGACGAGTTGGAGGAGCCGGAGGAGAACATCAACCCGTTCGCCTTGCGCAAGCAGCCTTCCAACGGCGCCGCGCCTGCAACTTCAACTCCGCAACCTCTCCCTCCGCCGCCACAGAAGAACTCCCAGCGCCAGCAGTTTTTCCAGCACCACAGGCCAGTGTGGGACGAGGATCGATCAGAGCAAGAACACATGCACAACCCATACGCCGCGCTGTTCGATCAGCCCAAGCAGCAGCAGCAGCAGCAGCAGCAGCACCAGGCCGAGAAGCCGACGGCGATGTCGAGCAGTGCGACGCCGAGCAGCAGCAACAGCCTGTTCAGTGATCTTGTCGATCTCCAAGGCGCGAGGATGAAACGATTGTAAGCTAGACGAAGGCGGCATATCCCGTGTGTGAATGGGAAGAAGATTCCGGGTGCTGAGGTGGACGGTGCTGACGTGGATGGTGCCACGTCGGATCTAGGTCGTTGTAGAGGTAGCGAGCGAGGGGAAAGAGGGGACAGTTTGTTGGCTGTGGCGCTCTCTCTCTCGCTCCCTCTCGTGTCAGTTTTTAGGGTTTTCTCGTCGCGCGCTCTCTCGCTCGCTCTCTCGCTCTCTCGCTCGCGCGCGCGCGCTACTGCTCGTGGCCACAACAATGTCAGAGAAGATCGTGGAGAAGTCGGCCGTGTTGGAGCGCAAGGCAATCATCAAGAATGCGGACATGACCGAGGATATGCAGCAAGACTCCATCGAATGCGCGTCCCAGGTGACTCGCAAATCTCCCAAATCTTTGGGGAATCTCTCATCCTCGTCGCCTTGCTTCTTTTCCATCCCAGGCCCTGGACAAGTACAATGTGGAGAAGGACATTGCGGCCTACATCAAGAAGGAATTCGATAAAAAGTATAACCCGACATGGCATTGCATCGTCGGCCGCAACTTTGGTACGTAGACAAACAAGTTCTTGCTTGTTCCATGGCAACACTCTTTGATCTCTCTCTCTCTCTCTCTTGGCTGCTCTTTGACGACAGGATCATACGTGACTCACGAGACCAAGCACTTCATCTACTTCTACTTGGGCCAAGTCGCAGTGCTGCTCTTCAAGTCGGGCTGATCGATCATGATCACTCGATCACCCACACACACACACTCTACTATATGGATTGAGCAGCATCAATATCGCATCCCTTTGTTTCTACTTCTTGACAATGCTGTCCGGTGTGGAAATTTTTGCCTGTAACATAATTGCCTCATTACTTTAGTCGTAGTTCTTGGCGCTGGGAAGGATCATCAGCTTAAAGAGTGGCTTTGTCTCGCCTGCGTGATCGTGATCGGATAGAGCGGTGCCAGTGCTGGATGGAATTCTGTGAAAAGATGTGACGAGCACGTAGTTTATGCGCGAGAAACGTACGTGGTGGCGAGCAGCAAGCCTGTCATGTCTTGGCGCCTGGCTCTTCCACTCTGGCCGGGTTGAAAGATTCCGGACGCCGCGCTAGAAAACACGCGATACGGGTGGTATCGGTCGCGTAGAACAAAAACGAAAAAGGAAAAAACCATCGCGTGGAATCCACATTGTTCTTGGAGACATGGAGGATCTCCAGAGGAAAACGAGCGAGCGAGCGAGAGCCAATCTGGATATCTTGTTGGTCACCTACGTCCTATATTCTAAGTTGTCTCGTACGTAGAGCATCAACCTTGCTTGTCACCAACACTTAAGGCCGTGAGCGAGCATCGTCCTCGCGAGCTCCAAAACTTGCGTCCGCTAGATCATGAGCTGCCTGCTCGTGCTGTGCTCGAGCTTGCTCGTCATTGCAGCAGCGAGCGATTCCAAACTTCCATCCTCACCACCACCACCACCACCACTTCCCGTGCTTCCAATCCCATCGTCCAAGCAGCTCCACTGGCAGCGTCGCGAGCGATCAATCTTCTTCCACTTCGGCATGAACACCTTCACCGACTCCGAGACGGGGACCGGGCTCGAGGACCCGCGACTCTTCTTTCCCACGCACCTCAACGCAAGGCAATGGGTGAGCGTGGCCAAGGACGCCGGATTCACGCTCGTCGTGCTCGTCGCCAAGCACCACGATGGCTTCTGCTTGTGGCCGTCCAAGTACACCAATCACTCCGTGGCCAGCAGCTTCTGGAAATCCGGCAAAGGAGACGTAGTGCGCGAGCTCACCGACGCGGTAGCCGAGGCCGGCATTGATCTCGGCCTCTATCTCTCGCCATGGGACCGCCACGAGCCCAGCTACGGCAACACGCTCGACTACAACAAGCACTACCTCGCCCAGATGCGAGAGCTCCTCACCAAGTTAGTGGAACACCATTTCCAGCTATGGTGGTCGTATAGATGCTTGATATAACTAACTTGGTCTCTGTATTGTGTGTAGCTACGGCAACATCTCGGAGGTGTGGCTGGATGGCGCAAAAGGCAACATCAGCATGGAGTATAAGTTTGACGAATGGTTTGAGACGATCCATCAGCTCCAGCCGGGAGCGCTCATCTTCTCGGACGCGGGGCCGGACACGAGGTGGGTCGGGGACGAGCAAGGCCGGGCCGGAGCAACTTGCTGGTCCATGGTCCGGAGGAGCAGCATCCAGATCGGCAACTCGGGCCCCATCTTGCAGTAAGTTGTCAAGTTGGTGGTGACGAGCTGGATCTGATCATCCTTGGCTGTTCTTGTTTGTAGGTATCTCAACCAGGGGGACGAGCACGGCAGCGACTGGGTACCACCCGAGTGTGATGTTTCGATCCGGACGGGATGGTTCTGGCACCGGAGCGAGCGTCCGAAAGATCTGTGGAGCCTGCTCGACATCTACTACACCTCCGTGGGCCGGAACTGTGTCCTGCTGCTCAACGTTCCGCCTAACTCGTCCGGCCTCATCTCGGACGAGGACTCCAAAACTCTGCGCGCCTTGAGCACCGCCATCACCACCATCTTCTCCGTCAACCTGGCCGCCTCGCCTCTCTCGGTCACCGCCAGCAGCGCCTACAGCACCGAGCACGGCCCCCACCAAGTTCTCACCCCGGACATCTCCTCCTTCTGGTCGCCGCGCGAGGGAGAGGCCGCTGGATGGCTCATGCTCGACTTGGGAAAGCCCACGCTCTTCAACTTGGTGAAGATCCAAGAGGCCATTGCCTGGGGCCAGAGAGTTCGCTACCACCGTGTCGACGTGCTCAGCGTCACCAGGGGGTGGACGACCGTCGCACAAGGAACCACCATCGGCTACAAGAGGCTGCATCGGCTCAAGCTGATCGTCAAGGCTCAGCTCGTCAAGCTTGTCATCCTCGACTCCCGAGCTGCGCCACCACTGGTTGCCTCGTTCGGCCTGTACCTGGATCCATATCCACACGTTGGCAACGATACTTCAGTGATCTCTTGACAATCCATTCGTCAAAGCGAGCTCTCGCGAGCTCCCTTTCGAGCTTCTATATTCACACTAGCTCTACCAATGCTAGAAAGCAGAAAGGGAAAACGAACTTAACCGGGAGAAAGCAGAGACTGTCAATCCTTGTTCTTGTTGCCTCCTCCTCCGCCCTTGATGACAAACTCGTTGCGCACCAGGTTTGCTCGCAGCAGCATTGCGCGTGTGTCCTGCTGGAAGTCGTAGCCTGTTTGCATGGCGCGTTGAAACGATGCCTTGCGTTGGTCAGCGTGGCGAGCGTAGAGAATCTTGTTGTGGGAGTCGATCCGGGCCTGGCAACAACGTGAAGAGTAAGAAACTAACAGCCACCATTGTTCTAGCTTACCTGAATCTGGTCCTCCATGATCAAGGCCGCAAGCTCCTTCTCCAGGCCAGACACGTTGGTCTTAAATGCGTTGGCCATTGTGTTGAGGTCTACCGATATGAACGGCGTCGTGTACTGGATGAGAGCCTTGTGCCTGATCTGCTCGTACAGCGCTTCCACGTGATCGTAGAGATGAATGTCCAGCACTAGGCTGCCCTTGAGCTTTTGCAAACAGCTGAGGCATGACGCATAGCGGCTGGAAAAAGAAAAGAGCAAAGATCACAAAAGATTTCTTCCCTCAGCCTTAAGAGATCCACATACCTCGCATAGAAATCATGAATCACTTCTCGCACTTCCGGTGTCAGCTCCAGAAAGTTTCTAAAGTTGACATTATCAATCACCTTGCTCTGCAAGGATGATGTCAGTTACGATGGCTGGTCTAGAAAAAAACACAAAGCACGAACCTTGAGATCGGCCCTGTCGAAGGAGGCGAGAGCGCAGAGACCACCGTATGTTGCAACGTCCTGCGGCGCAATGACTTCCGAGTAGTTGTTACCAATCTCAAAGTTGGTCTCTACGAACTGGAAAGAAGGTTGGCCGAGGAGCGAATGGAAAGAGTGCCTACCTTGCGAGCTGCGAGCTTGTACTTCTTGCTCTCCAGGTACGCCAACCCGGCCGCACACTTGAGCTTGGCGAGGATGATGGGATCCTGGATGTCCGGCGTCTGATCGGCCTTGGAGACGTAGTTCGAAACGTGCACGAAGTGGCCGAGCTCGATGCTGACGAGAATGACGTTGAGACACATCGCGATTATGTGCTTGGAGGTGGTGCAGTAGTCGCGAGTCCGGACGTAGCACTTGAAAGCTTGCTGGAGATCTCCACGGCTGTAGAAGAAATCTCCCAGATCATTGTAGCCCATGCGAATGCTCTCCTTGATGAGATTGGTCTGCGCAAGGAAACGATCCTCTTAGTTCCTACGAGACGAGAAAGAAAAGAAAGAGCGATACCTTGTAGCCATTGAGCTCCATGTCGAGCTTCTCCTGGCGTTGCACGGCCCTGCGATCGACCACATCGACCCATTCCTGGTCGCGAGCGTAGGCGGCCCCCAGGCGGCCTCCAATCTTGTCCACCACCTCCTTGTAGAGCAGCGTGTTCTCGGCCCTGCGTATCTCGTTGTGCGCCATTCGCAGAGCTTCCAGCTCCAAGTTGTGAGACTTGGCATGGTCGGCTATGAAGAAGAGGCGGGTCACCTTGGTTCGCCCGCTATACAAACCGGCGTACGCTTCCAAGTCCACCTGGTCGCCGGCGGCCACTCCAGCGCTGCCGCTCGCGTCGCCTCCTCCTCCATCGCCCTCCATCGCCATCGCGCTCTCTCTCTCGCTGCGCTAGGGTTCTAAGCTGACGTGGCACTAGAATCTCATCCGACGGTCGCCGGGCAAAGAGTTTAGGGTTTGCGGCTGGGGAGGACAAAGAATGGCGCGATCGCGATGCGGCTGGCTGCTCGTCCTGGCGCTCCTCGTCTTCGCTGCCATCGCTTGCTTCCCAGGTGACACAGATCGGGGCCGGATTGGATCTGGCCGAATTTGACTCGAGAGAATTTCGTTTTGCAGCTCGATCCAGGGCCGAATTGGAGGAAGGGAGCGACGTGGATTCGTCGCCCGGGGCTGGCGAGGAGGTTGGAGTCGTGGACGAGGGCGTGATTGACGCATTCGATACCGTCGGCCCGGCGGCTGGAGTCGACACGGTCTACCACTTTCCAAACAATCCGCAAAAACGTGAAAGAGCTTGTTGAGATCCATGCCACGCTCCTCCGTGCTAACCATGGTGCTGTGGGATTTTTGCAGTAGTTCCTGCTGGAGCGACCGCCGAGATTCTCGTCGGGATCGGCAACACTGGTAAGCTACACACCCGGTTGGTTGGTTTCTCACTTGTTCTTTCCAGGGGACGCTGCTGTCAAAGTGAACTCCATCCGGGGAACTCTTCACCTCCCGTTTGATCACAAGTACTTGGTCCAGAACTTCACTGTCCAGGTTTGAGAGTTGTTTCTACGTATCAATCATCCCCAGCGTTTTCCTGGAGCAGGAGTTTGGGAATGCAACCGTCCCTCCGGGCGTCCAGGCAACGTTTGCGTATCCCTTCACCGTGACCAAGTTCCTCCAGGTAAGTTTCGGATGTTTTCGCGATTGATTGGACTCCATGCTCGTTGCGCAGCCAGGGAGCTTCTCGCTGGTGGCGAGCGTGCTCTATGAAGTCGACGGTGACATCCACAAGACCGTCTTTTACAATGGCACTGTCGAGATCGTGGAGTCTGGTGGTTTCCTAAGCGGCGAGACGCTCTTCCTGGTCACGCTTGGGCTTGGCCTGATGGGACTTTTGTCTCTGTGGATCCACGGACAACTCCAACGTTTCTCAAAGGTAAGCAAAGCTATCTATCATCACTCTCGCTTAGCTCCGACTGGATGGATGCATCCATTCGTCGTGGTTTTTGGTTTCACCAGACGCGGAAGACAAAGGTGGTTGAGACGGGAACTCGGAACGCCGATGCAGCGAACAATGAATGGCTACAGGTCTCTCTTTTTCTTTCAGAGTTTGCGAAGAGTTTGCTAAGGCCATTGTTTTTCTTTTGTTTGATTTGCGCAGGGCACTGCATTCACCGCGAAAATATCCAAGAGCATCTCTCAACAAAGCAAGTCCAAGAAGAAGAAATAGGATCATAAGTTAAACCACTTTTTTGTTTTGCAAGTTTTTTGGTCTCTCTAAAAAGGTCTAGAGTTTTTCCTGGAGGAAAGGCCTCTAGGGTTTGCTAAAGTGAGAGGATGGGCGTGGTCAGGGAGGTTCTCAGGGCTGGCACTGGCGCGATTCCAAAGCCCGGCCAGAGTGTCACGGTGCATTGCACTGGCTATGGTGAGTGAAGGCGCTCAGCTATAGCTCTGATTCATTCCAATCTACTGCTGCTTGTCCAGGCAAAAACAGGGATCTCAACCAAAAGTTTTGGAGGTGAGTGTGCTCTAGCTCTAGCTCTAGCTTTGTCTCACTCTCCATCCAGCACCAAGGACCCTGGACAGAAACCCTTTCAGTTCAAGATTGGACAGGGAAGTGTGATCAAAGGTTCTCGGATCTATCCAGAAAAATGCTTTTGTTTCTCAGTTGTCTTTGCTCTTCATTCCAGGGTGGGACGAAGGTGTCATGGCAATGCAACTGGGAGAAATCGCTCGGCTCAAGGTAAGCTTTTTCTATTTCCTGTCGATTTCACTGGCAGTAATGAGGCTTCTTTGTTGCTCCAGTGCACTCCGGACTATGCTTACGGGAAGGATGGATTCCCTGCGTGGGGCATTGAACCAAATTCCGAACTTGTTTTCGAGATCGAAGTTCTTAGCCTTGGTTGAGAGAGTTGCCGTACCATACAAGATAGACAGTGAATGCCATGCTGCTTGAAATCTAATCGTGATCGCTTTCATCACTAAAGTAGCCGCTGCTCTTTCTCGGCCCCTTTGAAACACAAGCAAACCAAAGCGTCAGTAGGAAAGCAAGAGAAGAAAAAATGAGACCTTGAGTCCTCGTGATGGCTGTTTTTGAGTGTGTTGCGTATCAAATGTATTCCTGCAAAAACCCAGCATCATCATCTCTGGGACGCTGTTTGTCAAAAGCAAAGCTCTACCTCGTGTCCACAATTGACGCCCAGCCTTCAGGTGCTGGAGCTTCTTCTTGTTCTTCTCCTTCTTCGTCCTCGCTGCACAAATCCATTCAAGCAGAGACACAGAAAAGATTTGCAAACCTCTCAGCCGGATCGTCCACCGGTTGCGTTACGTCCTTTTGTCCCCGACGCTGCTTCTTGGGACAAGGCCGCTCCCTGAAAAGCTGCGCGAATGAAACGCATGTCACAGAGCAAACTTTACGAGCAAAACTCCACCTTGTTCTTTGGACACTCGTACGAGAGATGGCCATCCTCGCCACACTCGTAGCACCGGCTCTTGTCCTTGTAAACCTGGCGGACACAAACAAGCGGGAGAGATGATCAATCCAAGCAAGCCCGAGCGAGAAAAAAGATGGTCTTCCTTTGTTCTACCTTGCGACGGATAAACTCTCGAGCCCGGCCATTGTCTTGCGCAATGGAAACTTTCAAGGTTCTCTTGTTGAGCACCACTCCATCCATGGCCTTCACCTGGGAAACGCAATGCGCTGGTTAGCAGAGCTTCCATCTCCTCCATTCACAAGCTCTCACCGCTTTCTCGGCATCCTCTCGCGCAGTGAACAAGATAAATGCCACTCCTTTGCTCTGCCGCGTTACCCTGTCCTTCATCACCGTCACCCTGGATCGCGAGCTCGTGAGCAAAATCCCCTCGCAAGATCGCAAGGAAATACCTGCTTACTTGCCTACTTTGCCCATTTTGCTGAAGATCGTGTAGAGATCGCTGTTGGTGAGCGAGAAATCGAGATTGCTCACATACACGGTGGATTTGGATGGAACCAGACCCCCGCTGCCTTGTTTGCCCCTCTTCTTGTGCTGCGCGTCGCGCGTGGATGTGGATTCCTCCTCCTCCTCCCAGTCGTCATCGTCATCGCTCACACCCCTGGGAAACCCAGACGCGGCCATGAAGAACCCTAACAAGTGTAGGACTAGCGATTAAGTACTTATTTCTATACATTAATCAATCAATCAAAACTCCAAGGTATGCGCTGCGAGGAAAGATCATCAAAGTCCACCCATGCGTCGGTTGAAAAGAATGTGGCTGGTGTTCGCGACGGGAGTCAATCCGGGAAGATCGCGGATGTTCTTGTTCTTGGGATCAACAACCTGCCATCGAAAGAAATCTCGTTTGAGCGCTCCTGGAAACAAAGAGAATGGACTTTACCTTGACGACGATCACGGCAATGACACCCACGACAATGAGGAACAGGAAGAACAGTATGCATCTATCTGTGGCAAGCTGCAAAACAAGAAATGGACCCTCCACCAGTGTAAGGAGCAAAGATACTAGTTGCAAAGCAAAAGAGTTTACCTGTCTGCCAATCTCCTTGACGAGTTGAGACGCCTTTTTGATGGAGAATTGGATGTTGTCTAGCTCATTCACGATCCTGCCCATTTGCTCCGTCTGTAAAACCAATCACTCGTCTGTAAGTGCCCCCGAAAGAGAAAAATGCTTACTTGTCCTTTGAGCGTAAGAGCTGTTTGAGCGCCGACGTTGATGGTGTCCTCGACCACCTGTGAAAGATATATGAAATCGCAGGGAGTCACAAAGCGACGCATCTATCGGACCTTTTTGGAGCGCTCGATCGTCTGATCCGTCTCGTCCATGGTTTTCTTCCCGGCGTCCATGAGTTGCTGGTTTGACATTGCTGCAAAACGAAGAGCAAAGAGCTTAGAGAACCAAGCGAGGCAAGCCGCGACTTACTGGACGCCATCTTCACGTTTGGATCCGTGAGGTCAGTGCGAGCACCTTCGGCACTGCCACCTTCCATCAACTCTGCCTTTTTGTTTCCCAGCGAGCTCGTGTACCTGGGTGAAAACCAAGAGAAAAAAAAAAGAACTTGTGAGACACCGGCATGGTGGAGGAATGCACACACAAGAACTCACGTTTTGCGCAGGGCCACATACGAGTTGAGCTCCTTGATCTGCAAGAGACACCATCCTAGCGATGAGATCGATCGCTCGAAGAATCTCCATGGCCTCCTAGCATGGAACTTACCAGTGACTGCTTCTTTTCATTCAGCTGCTTTGTCAAATCCGGTGGGTTCCTCGACTCCTCCTCCTTGATCTCTCTATCAAACTCCTTGATGAGCCTGCATTGAAACTTTAGCGTCTCGAGCACAGCCAGGCGAAACCGACCTCTTGCACTCGCGCATCTTGGCGGTGAGCTCCTCCAGATGCTTGCTCTGCCGGGCAGGCTCCTTGATCTTGTCCATCTTCTGGAAGCCGGATCTGCATTTTGGCCAGTGAGAAATTTCTAGAGATTATCTAGAGCGAGCGAGCAGGGGGACTTACGAGAGAGCCCGGAAGAGATCCTTGAGCTGGCCATCGAGATCTGCCAATGCCGGGCTGAGCTCGGCCATCGTCTGGCGCCCAAACTTGATAGATCCCCCAAACAGCCTAATGCCTCATCCACCCAAACCCTAGGCGATGGATCGATGGATTTCCAGCAGCAGAGCAAGATCGCTGTGTCACAGGACTAGCGCAAGAGAGCATCCATCGCGAATTCGCTGCTGCCCCTTCCTTCCATTCCCGGCCCAAGATTTCCACTCCCCCTTTGGCCAGGCCTAGAAGAATATGCCGGGTATCGTAATCGCGAGTTAGGGTTCTTACCCGAGCACTGCCTAGGTTTAGCGCGCTGCGTTTGCCATGGCGAGCGTCGACATGATGGATGTGGCCGGGCCATCGGGCGAGGGCTCCAGCAGCGGCGCGAGTAGCTCCGCCAAGCGCTCTAAGCGCTTCGAGATCAAGAAGTGGAACGCTGTGGCGCTTTGGGCATGGGGTAAGGGGATTGTTTGCATTGTGAGAGATTATCGATCGCGCCCTCTTTCTCCAGACATTGTGGTGGACAACTGCGCGATTTGCCGGAATCACATCATGGATCTGTGCATCGAGTGCCAGGCAAACCAGGCCAGCGCCACGAGCGAAGAATGCACCGTTGCCTGGGGTAAGAGAAGATGATCATAGCTCTATTGGTTTTGTGACAATGCAAAACACACTCTTTGTGGATCCAGGCGTGTGCAACCATGCGTTTCACTTCCACTGCATCAGCCGCTGGCTAAAGACTCGCCAAGTCTGCCCTCTCGGTAAGACGAAGAAACAAACTTTCAGAGCTTTGCCTCTTACTCGTCCAGTTTTTTTCCTCCAGATAACAGCGAGTGGGAGTTCCAGAAATACGGTCGCTAGAGTAAAGCTGGCTCGATCGAATGTAGATCACGACTCCCTCGAAAACGTGAGAAAAAATCTTTTCTTTTGTTTCATTTTTTCTCTCGGTTGTTTTTGCAAAGAACTCAAAACTTGGGTAATATTAATCTTCGTTTTTTTCTACGCTCTATGCTTGAGGGGTACCTTTCTCGTTAGGTGGTGGCACTGCCTCTGGTGGCTTCATTGCGGGGCACAAGAGAACCTCCTGAAAACAAAGCCAATGAGAAAAAGAGTATGGTTCCTGGCTTACCTTGATATTGAGAGAGTCTGTCAAGAGCATGACCAGCCTATCGATTCCCATTCCCCATCCAGCGCAAGGAGGAAGCCCATACTCCATAGCCTTGACAAAGTCCTCGTCCAACACCATCGCTTCGTCATCGCCACCTTGTCTGTCCTGTAAATCAATCAAGGAACAGTGTGAGCACAAGACAATGACAGTGAAATCACAACCACGCACCTTAAGCTGTTGGACGAATCGATCTCTCTGTTCCACGGGGTTGTTTAACTCTGTGTACGCATTCACCAGCTGCGAAAGAGAAAAGAGCGTCACTCTAGTTTCTTTCCTGCGCTACTACTCAACTCACCTCATGCTTGTTTACGAAGAGCTCAAAGCGTTCTGTGAGACCTGGCTTGGACCTGTGTTGCTTCGCTAGCGGACTCATAATGAGGGGATGGTCGATGATAAAAGCGGGATTTACACAAGTCTCCTCTAGATAATGTCCCACCAGCTGCAAACACACACACGTCAAAGACTGCTGATGAACAGAATGACTTAAACCTTGTCCAGAAGCCTTGACGTAGTCAGAGGAGGAGCACAATACACACCCCTGGCCTCGCATGTTTTTTTCAGAAACTCGTTTGCCTCCTCTGATGCAAGGTCTTTTGGAAGCTCGATGCCCATTGTGTCTTCAAGGCCGTTGACCATCTCGATCCTCCTGCAAGAGGAGTAAAACACGTGAAATGAAGAGAACACAAGCACACACCTGAATGGGGGAGTGAAGTCGATCTCGACAGGAGGGCTGTCATAGCCATTGGAGTGATACGAAACCGTATATCCACCAGTGATTTTCTTAACCAATCCTAGAAACAACAAGCATAGTCAAAAACTCCATTGTGAAGAAAGCAAGGTTTGAAAATTTACCTGAAAGAAGCTCCTCCGTCATTGTCATCAAATCGTGGTAATCAGAATACGCGCTGTAAAACTCGCAAGTCGTGAACTCCGGGTTGTGCGTAAGATCCATCCCTTCGTTTCTAAACTGTTTGTCAACCTCATATACGCCATTATAACCCGCCACAAGCAACTGTTTGAGCTGCAGCTCAGGTGCTATCCGCAAGCTCATATCCATTTCCGACGCATCATGATGCGTATTGAAAGGTCTGGCTGCTGCACCACCAGCTTTCGAGTTGAGAATCGCCGTCTCTACCTGCATTCCACGAGTTTAGATAATATGATTCACACGATGAACCAGCTTACCTCTCTGAAGCCACGCTGGTCCAAGAACGAGCGAATATAATTCACCGCGGAGTGTGCTGTCTCAAGGACAAACTTCACTTCCGGGTTCACTATTATGTCAAGGAACCGGAGCCTATATCTCGTTTCCTGCACAAGACGAATCTAAGAAAGAGAAAGAAGTAAGAGCTCAACCACACACCTGTTCTTTCAGCACATAGGCGTTTGGATTTCTTGGTTTCCCAGGCCTCCAGGTTGCTTGCTCGTCCTGTGTAAGAAAACTTGAGCACACTGCGCAATGGCAAACTCCTTTGCTTACCCTGTTCTTTCCACCCTTTGGTAGCATGTACAAGCAAGGCGCTAGCAGGATTATCTCCTTGACAAAGATGCTGAGCTCTCCACGATTACTCATGCCTGGATTTCCCGACACCCCGACCACGTCCCCGCGCTTGATGTTTGCGTGCACAGCCGCAAAGTTACCACCAACGAGCGATCTAAATGGACAAAGAGGAGTGATCAGAGAACGAAGATAGAGCAACCATACCTGGCATCCGAAACAGCCTGAATTGTTCCCTCGGCCGACTCCAGCGAGTAAAACACGAGCTTCGAGCCCGACGCTCTCTTAGACATCACTCTCCCTGCAATACCGCGACTCTAGCTCGTAATTCTTTCCATTTCTTCCTCACCTGCGAGGGACACGGTCGTCTCAGCCAAGCGCTCTCCATTGCTGAGGCCCTTGAATTTCTCGCGATAGTGATCGAAGGTCATGGACACCCGGAACATCTGGGAATAGGGGCTCGTCGGCAGCGACGCAAGGCTTGCGAGCCGGTTGTTGTAGTATTGCTGCGAGGGCCACGACACACACGAGCTTAGCGCATTGCGAGAAAGAATCCGATCGACACAGGCACGCTACCGTGGGATCCAGCTCCTCCATTGTCGTCGAGCCGCAAGCGCCTAAACCCTAGCTTCACAGGAAAACCCTAAAAGAGAACAGTTTGAAACGTGAGGTTTTTATATCAAACCAAAACATTACATGATCGTCAAAATTATATAGAATGTGGATCTTCTCTTTCGCCACGTTTTGGCAAATTTTATGGTCAGCGATCTTAGAGATCCTCCGCTGGCTTGAGAGCTGGATAGAGTACTACTTCCTGTGCAAGCAAGCAAGAAATTCAGCACAGAACTACCGAGGAAAGAAAACGAACAGCAATAAAAACACTACCTTGATGTCCACTGAATCTGTTAGCAGCATCACCAAGCGATCGATTCCACAGGCCCAGCCCGAGCACGGCGGGAGGCCATACTCCAAGAGTGTGTGTAGTTCACTGTTCTCTTGCGCTTCCGCGGGATCCCTGCACTGGGTGAATCCACTCACCAGCTGCGAAAAACGAAGTCAAATTTTCGGAGTTGAGTGAAGTGAAGCTCACCTGACTCTTGCTGACAAAGAGCTTGAAGTGCTCCGCAAGAAGTGGCGTGGAGCTGTGCGTTTTCGCAAATGGAGTGCTCCTCTTGGGGTAGTCGACAATGAAAGTCGGGGACACGCTTGTTGCCTCCAGGAAATGGCCCGCTAGCTGCAACACGAACTCAAACATTAGGCCTTGCAAACAAGACATGCTAGAATACCGAAGACAAGAGGTTCGCTGTTGAGAGAGGCGGCGGACATGCCACGCCCTTGGAAGAGCACGTCTCTCTTAAGAATTCATTGGCCTGCTCCGACGCAAGGTCCTCTGGAAACTTGAGGCCCAGTGCCTCTTCAAGGCCTTTCACCACCTCCACCCTCCTAGAAAGCATATAATGAGACGAGCCAAAGACGAGGAGGAGCTCACCTGAATGGAGGAGTGAAGTCGATCACAACAGGAGGGCTGTCGTAGCCGTCGGAATGGTAATAGACTTTGTATCCGCCAGTGATCTTCATAACCAATCCTAGACAGAACAGTTGTCCGTCACGAAATAAGAGAGCTCGGGTGTTTACCTGAAAGCAGCTTCTCGGTCATCTCCATCAAGTCCTTGTAGTCGGCATATGCTTTATACATCTCGCAAGTAGTGAACTCGGGGTTGTGTGTCCGGCTCATTTCTTCGTTGCGGAACTGCTTGCCAATCTCGTACACGCCAAAAAAGTTGGACACAATCAGCTGCAGCAGCTGATCCGACGAGACCCGAAGAACCATGTCCAGGTTTAGTTGGTTGTGATGCGTCTTGAAACCGTTCGCGACACTTCTTTGCTCGAGAACCCCAGTGTTCACCTGCATCTCGATCGTTACCACGCCGCAAAGAAGCTCCTCCCGATCAAAGTTTACCTCTGTAACGCCACTAGTTTCCATGTAAGTCCGAATGTAGTTCACGGCCTCGGTTCGGGCAGCAAACACGGACTTGATGTCCGGGTTGACAATCAAGTCGAGAACCCGGTTCCTGTACCTTTCTTCCTACAAGAGGGAATAGCTGGTTTTACTGACGGCTGACTACTATACGAGAGAAGACGAACCTGATCACTCAGCACATATGCGCTTGGATCTCGTGCTTTCCCCGGCCTCCAAGACTCTTGCTCCGTGTGGCTATCACCCTCGCGTTCTGGCAAAGTGCGTAGGCAAGGAGCCAACAAGCACAACTTCTCCACGGAAATCCCCAGCTCGCCATGACACGCCGAGGCAAAACCCGAAACACCAACAATATCACCCCGCTCGATCTCAGCTCCGAGTTTCGGCACTCTGGATAGATAGAAAGATCACATCAGTCACTCACAGAAGAAGAACAAGAAACCTGGCGTGATCCACAAATGCTGGAAGCTTTCCCACGACCGACTCGAGCACGTAGCACGTCGAGTCGGGCTCGAGGCGTTTGTGCATTACCTTGCCTGGAACAATTTGCATTTGTCACAGAGACTACGAGCGGTGAAAATCCTGCTCTACCTGCGACGGAGACGAGGGTGTTGGAGCGCTGCCCAGCTTCCAGCTGCCCGAATTCGTCGTGGAACTGGGCCAAGGTCATCGACACCTCGAACTTGTGAGGATACGCATTGCCCAGGCTTTCCTCGAGAGAAGAAAGACGCTGGCTCCCCATGGAGAATGCGCGGCGCCCACTAAAACCCTAACCCTTATCTTTGAATGGGTTCTATAGTAGAGAAAGTGGGTCAATGGCATGAACCATGAGGTTCTAGTGCGGAGCATCCGCTCGCTAGCGAGCGCCAAAGATCTTCCTCGAGCGCGGCTACTCCACGCGCAAATCGGCAGCGCGCCGGGCAGATTTCTTGCCAATCTCCTCGTCCAGATGTATGGCAAATGCGGCGCCGTGGAAGAAGCCCAGCGGGTCTTCGATCAGATCCCCGATCCAAATGCCTTCTCGTGGAGCATCCTCATGGCGGCCTACGAGCAGAACGGCGATCTCCTCGCGAGCAAGCGTTGCTTCGATCGAATGACGCAGCGGGACGTCGTGTGCTGGAACGCGCTGATCTCCTGCTTGGATCGGATGGGCGACAATGTCTCTTGCCGCAAGGCCTTCGATCGGATGCCCCATCGCAGCCTCATCTCCTGGAACTCGATGCTCACGTCGATCGCTGCGAATGGAGGAGGAGGCGACCTTGCGCAATCCTGGGAGATTTTCAATTCCATGCCCGAGAGGGACACCGTCGCGTGGAATTCGATGCTTGCGGCTCACACCACCTGCGGCGTCGATGGCGATCTGGGATCCGCGAAGAGCCTCTTCGATCGGATTCCTCGCAGGGACGTGATCTCTTGGACGAGCCTCGTCCAGGTATGTGCCACAACCAGGCATTTTGATCTTGCTCACTCGGTCTACCAGAGAATTCCCCAGATCAACAGCATCACTCGCAACACAATGCTCCAGGCATTCTCGGATGACCAGAATCTCACAGCAGCGGTGGAGCTGTTCACATCCACGCCCGAGATCGACGTCGTATCGCGGACCACCATGATCCAGGCATTTGCCCAGAGTGGGCATCTGGATGATTCAAAGGCCCTCTTCGATTCCATGACCGATCGAAACGTGGTAACTTGGACCGCGATGCTGCTCGCCTTTTCGGATCACGGCCGATCGAATGACTCCCAGGTCGTGTTTGGAAGAATGCCCAAGCAAAATCTCGTGGCTGGGAACGCGCTCGTCAGCTCCCTCTCGCGAGCGGGCGATCTCACGGCTGCCAGGCTCGTGTTTGAGGATCTCCCAGAGCGCGATTCCATCTCCTGGAACACGCTGCTCATCGGCGCGGTAGAGGAGAGCTTCAGGATCGACGGTGGAGATTCAAATCCAGCTCGAATCGATGGCGCTAAGAAGCTCTTCCTCCTCATGCCCGCCCTCTCTCTCGTCTCCTGGAACGCGATGATCTCCGCCTGTGCTCGATCGAATCGCGTCACAGAAGCCCAGACCCTTTTCGATCAGATGCCCGATCACGACACTGTCTCGCTCACCGCGATCTTCCAAGCTTATGCGCTGAATGGGCATCTCCAAGAAGCAAAGCGGATGTTCGACTCCACCACGCAAAGAGATTCCATCCTCTGGATGTGTATGGTCCGGGCGTATATCGAGGACGGCCAGATCCAGCGCGCACACGAGCTCTTCGACAGGATGGACGGACGAGATTCGTCGTGCTGGACATCGATGGTCCAGGCTCACGCCGTAGACGGCAATACGGAAGACTCCATAGCCATGCACGAGAGAATGCCGTACCACGGAAGGATCGCATCTACGTCGGTTCTGACGGCTTATTCCCAGGCCGGGAATCTCAGCTCCGCCAAGGCCGTGTTTGAAACCATGCAAGAAAGAGATATTGTCGCCTGGACCGCAATCCTTACGGCATATGCCCAAAGAGGGTATAACCTTGAGACTTCTCAAACTTTCAAGATGATGCCCGAATGGAGCATCTTTCCTTTCAACGTCGCCGTATGTGGATATGCCCAAAACGGGCACATTGAAGATGCTAAGGAGCTCTTTGACAAGATGCCAGAACACAATCTAATCTCCTGGAACGCACTTCTTGCAGGATATGCCCAGAACGGGCATTGCGATTCGGCGATCGAGGCCTTCCGTGCGATGAACCTGGAGGGCGATGCAGCGCCGAATGACATCTCCCTCACGAATGTCTTGGCGGCCTGCGGCCACAAGGGCCTGCTGGAGATGAGCCGGGAGTGTTTTGTGTCGGTGAGCTCTGACTATGGATTGAAGCAGTGCAAAGAGCAGTATAGCTGTGTGGTTGATCTGCTGGGACGACTGGGAGAAATTGAGATTGCCGAGGAGATTGTGAAGGCAATGCCATTTGTGGCTGATGATGTGGTGTGGGGCTCTGTGTTAGGTGCCTGTAGAACCCAAGAGGAGAATGGGATGAGAGCAGCAGTTCAAGCAGTGGATTGGATTGCACAACTCAATCCAGACAATGGCTCGTGTTACATCCTCTTAGCAAACATGTATGCTACGACTAATCCCTGAAGAGTCACGTAATTGTTTTAATTATTGCGAGCGTGATCCATTGCAATGCCATCGACACAGCTAATACCGTCTGATCGTGGTTCCCATAGCTCGCATACTGCAGCTCCAATTGATCAACCACATGCATTAAAATGCTTTGGCAGAGCTATTTTTTAATAACTAAATAAAGAGTTAGAGAGAGCTGAATGAATTAAAATCAATATCTCTGATTAACTGGCAAAGCGCTTGTTGTTCGTGTCCACGAAGCCAGCCTCCACAACACCATTCTCGACGTAAACAAGCTCGCTCACCCAGGGATGCATGTAAGCCAGGGCAGCACCCTTGGGCCCGAGATAGATCCGCGCCACGGACAGCCCCATGATATTGAGAGCCGGGAAAGTGGTGATGGATGGCTTGCATGAAGTTGAAGAGAGGATGAGGGTGTTTGTATCAGTGTTGGTGCTGAGTCTTTGGAGGTGACTTGCAAGTATGGCTTACCTTTGATCAAATTGTGGCTTGGGTGTTTGTCTGTCTGACTTAAATTTAAGCCTTAATTCCATACCATGTTAATTGGTGGTATTTTCTTATTAAGCCACTGATATGCCAAATTCTGTTTAATGTTGTTTTGCTTATTAGTTGATGTAAGATATTCTAGGATTATTCCACACAAGATGTTTGCCAATGATTGTGATCCCGCAAGGTGTGCTCCAGTACGTGGTGCTCAACAGCCAGAATCCTTCCTTCCAGATATCATCATCTGCATTGTTTGGACCCAACTGGCCGGATGAAGTCCTGGAAGCGTCTTTCAGTCTCAACAGGACTGCCATCGATCCGCTGCACAATTAATTTCAATAAAACACTAAGGGAGACGACTGCATGCATGCCCTGTCTCGCCCCGCACCTTGCATAAATTGTATTAACAATTTATACTTGAGCTTAGCGTGAGGAACTGCACCATACCCGAGCAGGGGTAAGTAGATCAGAGAGGGGATGTATCCTGGGGTGGCCCGCACGTTATTTTCTTTCCTTTGTTTAATCAGGCTGTATTAAGCACAACCGTTCTCAGCTCGAGCATGAGTTGTCTCTAGATGATGTCTATCGAGTTCAAGACCTCCCCGCATATGTGCAGATAATTCATCTTTGAAAAATTACTGGATCTCCAAAACCAGCTTGTTTCGGAAGAAAAAAAGATACCATTATTCTCTATTCCTATCAAGTCTCATATCCCTGTAGACTGGGACTAGCAACAGCTCCGGGCCTTTCGAAACTCCTCTACATAGATCTGCTCCACGAAAGGCGAGCAGAACTTATCTTCTAACAGTGCGTATCTGGGATCCTGACAGATTATTTCCGATCGCAGGTGGAAGTCGCAAGTTGTTGTTGTAGAGTCCAGCCTTTTGACGATACTTTCAACCGTATTGCGGATGGAAGACATGGTACGTCCGTTAATGAAGTGCAGGAGCACCCTGTGCCAATCCTCCTCGTCTTCCAAAAGTATAGCGACTTCTTTTGGCTCCAGCTCAGCTGGTGGTGCAAGTCTGAAGTCGTTCCCGTCCCCCCACTCAATACCTGGTTCGCATCCGCCTAACTGCTTAATCCGAGCTATCTCCATGCAAGCCTCGTCCAGCACATCCAGAAACTGGGGATGGAAACCAGCGTAAAAATCCACGTCCTTGGTCCGCTGCTTATGACCAGTTACGACGGCTCCCAGCACGGAGTGAAGAAGAAAGACTTCTCTTTGTTCCTGCGAAAGACAAGGCAGGATTTAATTGACGAGCACGAGACGTATAGAAACACAAACCTTGGTAAAACCCCTGACACGATAGATTACTACTCCCTCCGAGTAACTCAAGTTGGCAGCCACAGCTTGGTGTGCTGTAGGAGACACGCCCCACACGACTTTGTAAGGCTCAACAATGGCTTTGAGCGTCAGGAAGGTGTTTTCCAGTTCTCTAGCGCCCGGTCTCTCGATGCCACGAATGTCCAGAGCTTGCTCACCATCAGCAATAAAAGTAAAATCGTCCCCAGCTGCTGCCCTCTCCTTGAGAAACTTCCGAAGCCTCTCCATCCATTTTCCTATGTTCCCAGACCCACTAAAGTCCCCGTCCTCCTCCATTTCTTCTTCCATTTTGTGAACCGCGTCACGAACCGGCTTGTGCTCGTCTGCACCGGAGTATGCAAAGCGGAGCCCATCAAGCAGCCATAGCGGTGCTCTGGCCTTCTCCATGTTCCACACGCAAACGATCACACTCTTCGCTGGACCATGCGCATAGAACATGTTCGCAATTGCCCTCAACCGGCAACTTTTCCCGGTGCCCTTGGGCCCGACAACAAGTAACTCTTGCTCACGTTCAAGAGACAGGACATGCCACAGCAGTTTCTGCAAGTCCGGTGACCCCACAAAAAGAAAAGACTTTCGAGTGCCTGTGTAAGGAAGGATGGTCACCTGGTTGGGATTGAGTAGATCCTTGCATTTGATCTGCTGCCAAGATGCCTCCACTGTATCATCTCTGGCTACGCGCCGCCGCTTCTTCGCAGCCTTTGCTCTCTCCATGAGTGCCCAAAATTTTCACCCTGGACGAGCTGTTTTTGTGTTAACCGAGCAACAAGTGTGTGTATCTTGTAGCTGTAAGGTAAGTCCCTTGTGTACCATATTACCCACAAGGTAATGGACAAGCAAAATTAACAAACAAAACGCTCAAAACATACTCAAGAAAATAATTAAGACATTGGGATGAAAGAATTTATGATGCTTTTTGGGCTTACAGAACTGCTTTCAAAGTTTCTGGCCATTGAACTTGAAATTAATCAAAAAGAATCAATTAAGAAAAGACTCGCAGTACTTGAGAAACTCAATGAAGAAAGACTGAGTGCAATATGGACAATTGAAGCAATACAGATTAGAAAAAAAGCTTATCACAATCGCAAATAAGTCAAGAAAAACAAAGTGCATTACAAACTAGGAGATCCTATATTATGGCATCATGGCAATGTAGATAAACTTGGAAGAAAACTCATTCATCAATGGAAAGGACCATTCAAGATTACAAGTATACAAATCCCAAGAACAGCAAGATTTGCAACTTTAGATGAAAAATTGCAAGTAGTTAACTTGAACAAATTGAAGATTTACATGAAGTGTTTCACACTATGGTGGAATACCAGAAATTTCAAGAGAAAACACTAAGAGAAATCGAAGAAAACACATTCGAATGCATGCAAACACTTAGAAAAAATTCACCTCAACAAGAATATGACCTAACCCTAATCTTGGCGGCTGAGAGAAGAAAAGAGTTATGGGTGATGGTGCGTGAGGAAAGAGGGGGGCAAACAGTGGTCAAGGCTGCTGCAATTCTTGGTATGGTGAAAGCATAGCTTCAATGAGGACTAGAGTCACTTTGAGGGCTCCACACCATCCACAGGAAGAGGAAGTGGTTGACTTCTTGGACAATGAGAACAAGGTATGCTCGGTTTTCCAAGTGGGAAACCTAGAGTGGTCTCGAGACAAGACTCTTGACACATGGCTGTAGAAGTATCAGCTCTATGCATTCTCGATTCTCATGATGGCTACAGTAAGCTCTGATCCATAGAGTATCGAGAGGAAAATTATCAATTTTGCACGCAGGAAACTCACGATTGAAGAAGAAGACTTCACCAAAGCTCTTCAACTACCAAACAGGGGAAAGCGAGTGATGGCTCTGCGAGATAGAGCCATCGAACTGCAGATCATGAAGCACGTAGCAAACTACAAGACAGCAGCATCTCTACAGTTCTCGAATGTGAAAGAAAATTTGCGAGGGATTTTCAAATTCCTTTTTGCAACATTGGAGTTCTAACAAATGGTGACATCAGTGAGCAAGAGGAAGAGGAGCAAGACAGCCATGAGGAAGTGAAGGAAAAGCAAGTGGAAGTTGAGGATGAACAAGACAAAGCCAAGAAGGAAACTCCAAAGGAACAAGAGGTTGAAGACCGCGAGAACATGCAAGAGGAACCACCCCATGACAGAGAAAAACCGATGGATCACGCACAGAAGATCCCAGTGCCAGAGAAAAATCAAGAGGAAGGGATTACCAATGACAAGCTCTTGGAGACTCTAGTTTGCAATCTTGAGTCTGCGACACAGGACTGCAACCTTGAGCCCAAAATAGTTGTGATAACTGCAACAGCCAAAGACAATGAGAAGGGTTTGGACAAGGCAAGTTAGGAGTTCCCACCAATCAAAAAAGCTGAGGAGATGGAGAACTATGGAATGCAGGATGGAGCAGAGTGACACCTCCACAATCGTCCTTCATGCTGCTACACTCCAGAGAAACGAGGACAAAAGGAGCTCGAGCATGGCAACCACAGCAACTAGAAGCTCCCGCACAACGTCCTCCAATAGTACCACGACTCCAAGCTAGCAGTGTACACTCGTGATACACTCGTGATGGCATTGAGAGCTTCTATGAGAAGACGTTTGTCAAGCTGATAGAGCAACGCCTTTCCAAACTCGGGGATGGTTTCAAGCAGCTGAACGCCGTGATCAAGAGCATTCGCAGCCATGGAATTCTAACTCCAAAATCCTGTAAGGAATCCTTCGACCTTACACAGCAGTTTCAGCAGAAAAATGCAAAGCTCAACAAGGAGCTACTCGCGGCAAAAGAAAAAATCTGCACGCTCAAAGAAGCAACCCAGACTTACAAAGAGGAAGAAGAGGATGAGGAACCACATGAGGGAATGGCTACCCAAGATGCAACGATGGAGTAGTGATTGTGGGATGTAGCATGAAACAGTCGTGGGAGAGTGAAGAAAGAGGAAAAAGGTAAGTTTGAAAGTTCAAGCTTAGGAAAATAAACTTGAAAAGTTCAAGGTTTAGACTTAACCTTGAACATCTCAAGTTTGTTTTCCTAAACTTGAACTTCCGAGTTTGCCTTTTTCCTTTTTCTCCACTCTCCCATGACTGTCTTGTGCTATGTCTTGCAATCATTTCTCCATCACTACATTTTGGATAGCCGTTTTCTTCATGTGGTTCCTCCTCCTCC